TCCTTCCTCTCCCTCTCTCATTTACTCACCTTGTTTTTCATAACGGTCCTCCACCCTGAATACCAGTGACGTAACCTAACCCACGTGACCACCAACACATAAGTGGCCTTAGTAAACTCTGTTGGCAAGGGATTGTTCCTGGTGTGCTTGTTCACATCATCTGCAGCCCTCTTCAATATGCTCTCTGTTGATGGATTTCCGTCATATTCTCGGTATACGTGGTAGTACATCTGAGATATGTCGTTAGCAAAGGAGTAATAAACATCGGTTAAACCCCAGTAAGGTGCAAGCATAGCGTACCTATCGAACCAGTAGTACTGACCAAAATTGTACGGCCACCATCGCAACCAGGACGAATCGAAAGACATCAAACCATTTGGGCAGACCTATTATTAACAAAGACTAAAATATATTAAACTGAGAAACGAATGTGGATGGGTTTAAAGAAAATGTAATGGGAATCAATTGTGGCGTAGAACTAGTGCGCTCGCCTCGCACTTTTGGGGTCATGGGTCCGTTCCTGGTCTCGTTATCTCACATGAGTAGATTTTTGCTAGGTCTCTATGCGTTTAACAGCATAACAGTTTATTTGCCATTAGATATTCATGTCCACGACGGGACTAAAGAGAACACTAATATTGTTAGATTACCAGACGTTTTATAGATTTGCTGTTGTTGTTTTTTTTGATCTGGGTTACCTGTGTGTACCCAGCCTCCGCGCTTATAAGAAGCATGGTGTGTCTCATGGCGRATTAAAGTTTCTACGAGTTTAATGTTGACAATTTGTGTTATTTCACCTCGGGTTTAAGCCATCCGACCAGAATCTCGCGCACAATTCATTATATACAAAATACATGCATGAATAATATTTACGATAAGGGCGAGGAAGTCAGATTTGAAGCCGTGGGGCTTGACATGATGTCAAACTAGATATTTACATTAAGTAATTGTTAAATAAAGATGATAATTTGTTTATATCTACAATAATTTGCGATCCCGTTTTACACTCACGTGAATATGATAATGTTTTCTTCCAAAAAAAGGAAGTCCACCAAAATCAAATTCAACTCGAGGGCAGTTCCAGTACCATTGGTTTCGGCTATACTTTGTATCTGATGCCTCCAGACCATAGGGATACATGATAGGATCTTCTGACGGTGCTGCTAAGACACAAAAGTCATAAAGATAAACATTGTTAAAACTGCCTGGTTAAAACAACCAGAAAACATTGTTTAAACTGAGTTTATGCAACTGATAGAACCAGTTTTTTAATGCATATGGTTGAAATAACCATATTTATTGGTCATTGAACATATGGTTATTCTAACCATAATAATATTGGATATCATAAACAATTAACTTGAGGTTTTACAAATCACATCTTTAATGAACTTGAGGTTATAACGACGTACCAAAAGATATTGTTTACAATAACCAAACATATTTTTTATTTGTGATAACCAGAATAATATTGGTTATTATAAATGATTACCTTTGGTTTATAACAACCAAATGGCATCGGTTATTATAACCAATTTTTAAGGTCAAGGCAATGCAATAGACCATTTCACAGATCCCGCGGCTCAACTTCAGCCTCGTCAGCGTGTAATATATTCTTTAGAAATTGCCTACAACCTATGAAACTTTTAAGTGTTTCAATTGTTCGTTGATGTGTGAATTCCTTTCATTACTGCGGACTGTAGTCAAATTCTAAAGAATAATTGCACGCTGACGAGGCTGATGTTGAGTAACGGGATCCGTGAAATGGCATATTGAGATTACCAATTTTTTCTGGTTACTTCCTGACAATAGTTCACTTCACAGTTTCCTGCGCCATCTTGAAAGGTAACCATGCATTTGCATCGAAGCGAGACGAACGGTGTTCTTGCACTGACAGAGACCTTAAGACGTACTACCTTTCAAAGGTGAGCTAAGATTTCTTTACTTTATTTCACGTTATCTTTTTGACGAATGTATTGAGGTTTTTAAGCATCGCCTTCATTTCTTCATAATATGACAACCACAGAAATCTAGATTTGGTTACCTGTGACCGTTAGTGTTTGCAAATGGCGGGCTTTGAATTTGCCGAGGTACATGATGGGTATATAAGCGCTTTCAGGAATCATTGGGCTCGTTCCCAGTTTCCTTCCAATCGCCATGAAATTGCTAAAGATAACGTTAAAATTACAAAAAAAAAAAAAAAAATTATGTAGTTTTATCATCGTATAGCGTAAAACAATTTTGGTTAAAAATCAAAAATTAAGGTTATAGCCATTACAGCGAGACATTTTAACCTAGCTACATGTCGAGTTTTGGTCGTAGGTGAAGGCACCCGTTCTTTACCAAAATTTAATTGATACGTAGTTGAAATAGGAAGATAAATCCGCAGTCTTTTGGTAGAAATGATATAAGTATGGTTGGGTCATATCTGAGACCGGTTTTGTTTTGTTACAGTATTAATTACCCACAACTAACCAATTTTCTTTTCGTTGTAACAACCAACATTTGTCCGATATAGATTGGTTATAACCAATGGAAATGCGTCTAGTGCCCGAGTCAGTACGATATAGCAAACTAGTTTAAATTGCATCCATGTAAAGAAAAATTGAAGCATATAGATAGTTGTCTTAACCAAAATAAATGCGTTAATAACAACCATGTTGATATTACTTATTTTAGCAACCAAATGGGATAAGTACTTAGGTTGTTTTAATCATTTCATCAACCGTTTCAATTAGTCATAACCATTTTCTAGTTGTTTTAGCCAGTCACATTTTACATTGAACAACTAATA